GGGCCAAGGCGCAGCAGCAGCAGCAGCCCATCCCGCGCTCCTCTCTCTCTGCCACAGCTCGTTGCCATGTGGGCCCGCCCCGTCATCCCTTACCTCCCGCCGTCTCCGCCACGACCGGGCAATGAAGCCAGGCAGCTGCGTGACCCAGCCCACCTCCCTGGTTAAGATCCACGCGCCGCTACTACCCAACCACTCCTTTCCCCTCCTCCCCCAGCTCAGTCCGCGCCCGCTGCCATTACAGGCATGGAGCCAAGGTCCCGACCCAGCTCCTCCTCTCCTCTTCGCTCCCTCATCTGCCCTTATAAGAAAGCCAGAGGCCTCGAGCTCTCACCCCGAATCCACCACTCCCGCTCTAGCTCTCTTCCCCGCACCGCAGCGCCGCCATTGCTGAACCCCACCGCTGTGGGTCTCCCAGCGACCCAGCTGAAGGCACCCCGAGCCCTCCTTCCTCTTCCGTTGGCACCGCTGCGTCACGCCGCATCCGCTACACTACCTATCGGGTCGGGACAGTGCCGCGTGGTGACATTCGGACCTCGCCGGAGCTCCCTACCACCACCGTCCGCCTCTGACCGGCTTCCTCCTTCTACGAGCCATAGCAAACCATCGATGTGAGATCGCTGATTTCCCCTCTATTTCCCACTGCCTATCCCTAATCGAATCATGGCCCTTAGGCCCTTCCCCGGGTGCGTCGGCGAGCTCGTCGCCGCCATCCATGGTCTCCACCGCGCCAGAGTCCCTATTCCAGACGGCCAGACTCTTTCTCTCTCTATCCCATCTAATCCCAACCATCCATCGCGAGATCAACGGCTCAGGTAGGTCCATACCCGGGCAGTTTTGTAAAAGAGACCCTCTACTTCTTTAAAATCAACCCGCGGTCCCTCTTGCCGATTCACAATTCATTTATATATATTTTAATTTGAAATTAGTTCGCAGTATTTATGGTTTTGCCATCCCGCTCCTATAGCCCATACTCCATGCGTCCTGCGCTTTAAATCCAATTTCAGTGATTTTCGCGTCTGCGTGTTCGTAGCAATGGGTAGATTAGTTTTATAAGTTTTTCAACATCATTTTCCACCATTGGTGTACTGTTCTAATAATAGTTCTTGTTTGCTTCGTTCATGATTGCGTGGATCCTTTGTGTGGTGCTATATTATGATCGAGTATAGACGGTGAGCAGTACGTCGGTGATCAGGAGCAGTACTTTGACGATCAGGACCAGCAGAAAAACTTTGAGCAAAGACAAATATAGCATGAGATCATCCTTGTTACCTGTTCACCTTTAATCACTTAATTCATAATGCATGTGTCTATCTTGATTAGCACCAAACCTAGCGTGGTGCTAATCAATTCAAATTAATCTATTAAAAAGATGAAAGTTTTAGGGTGTTACACCCATCATGTCTTCACTTTGGGAGGAACAATTGATCATTGTCATCATATGAAACTTCATATAGCGCCTAGGATCTGCGCAAGGAGATTGCTTCGCCTATTGTTTGATTACTGTTCACTAATTGGACGACGCCACGTGCCTCGTGCATGTCTAAGCCTGGCTTTGGAGGCCAGTGGAGGCCTCTGCGACTGTACTCTAATCCGAGCTGCACAAATCAGTCGTTGTCTGTTCCCCACCCCTCCGTCCTCAGCTCTTCGTTCTCTCCGTCTCTGTCCTCAACTTCTCGTGCTCTCCGTCGTCGCCCCTTCCTCTTCCTCCTCGGCGCCTCCCCTTTCTGTCGTCGCCCCCTCCCTCGCTTCCCCCGATCCCATCCCACGCCGCCCTTTCTCAGATCGTCATCGCTCGTGATTGCTCAGGCGACAACGACGGATGTGCTCGCCATGCGCACATCCACATCGGGTCCACCAACGCCGGCGTCGAGTCTACCGTCGCCGACGCCGGATCCACCGTCGCAGTGCCATCAGTAGGCAGGTTAGGCCATGTGGTATCATCCATGCTGCCTCGCTTTTTCGTCAAAGCAACACTGATGATGGCGAGATAAAGCTTTCTCTAACTAAACGACGAGGTGGCCAAGGTGATAGGTATGTGATGGCCCTAATCTCCATCCCCCTCTCTCAATTGTAGTTTTGTTTTAATCTCCACTTTCTCTTTATTTTCTACTCTCAGGTCCCCGCAGTGGAAGTCCCATGTGGCACAAATGAATTACGTCACTCAGCACAACGGCTACGCCGTGATGGCCTCCAACTACTGGAATTTGTGGCGTTCAAGCCGGTTGAGAAACATCTTGTGCAATGCTGGTACGTGGCGTTCCCAATCCTGGAGAGCAGCAGCATGTGCAACCCTGAAGCGGCCAGACTCAATACGTTACTCGCTTTTTGCATCCCGCGATTCGATGATATGTCTCTGTTGTGATGCTTCACTTTGTCAATTTGTCTGTACTTGGTTTTTTGTTTGCTTTGTAGTGAATTAGGATACCATTTTGGTGAAAGTGGTAATGCTTCACTTTGTAGGATTCAAATGTTTGAATCGATCGCATAGTAATATGTGAACCAATATGCTTGGCTCTTTTTCTATTACAAAGGTTGATCGTAAATCTCTTCAATGATGCATCTGTTATTCTCATATCTTTTTTTCTTTGCTTCAGAACCATGGGACCTAGAGGACCTTAATTTGTCGGGATTTCGACGCAGTGCAAGTATACAAGATGAATTATTTTTCATGGTAAGTTACTACTACCGTGATCATGTGCACTTTCGGTTCTGTTGTGTGGTTTCTAGATGACCTAATAAAGTAGTTACCTTGGAAATTTTGATCATTCCCTCACAGTTTGCTTTTTTAGCTCAAAAAACTTAGCTTTCCATAAATCAGTTTAGAACAATTGGTTTGTATGTTGATTTTTTTCATTGTCCCTTAATTTGTTTCATCGAGAAAATTATGTATGCATGTTGGTGCTAATGGATCAGGATTATACATTTGACTAGATATGTACTTTGCAGATGTTTGGACTTGCAACTCATCCCTCTGTGGTGTGCTACGCAGATAAACTCATCATGGTGTGGATCCTATAAACATGATATGTGAATTCTGTTTGTTCTCCAATTACCGCCTCAATGGTAGGAATGAACTTTGCCGCCTCCTTATTTCATCTATTCTAGCACATCTTTTTGTAGCTATAAAAAAAACTTGTTTTTTTACAGACCAGTTGGTTTGAGTAGACGAAAAGGAGAGGTTACTCCAATTGTATCCTTTTTTAATGTTAGTTGAGGATATACTCTTAAGGTGAGATTATAATAGTCAAGGCAAGCAGCGTGCCTTTTGTATTGATTAAAAATTATATGTTCACTATCTGAGCGGATTTCTTTATAATTCTAAGTCTGAATTGTTAGTTGTTTTCTCCTTCTATTCAAAATAGGATCATATTAAAAAAGATGCCTCTATGCCTAGCTCAAAAAAATTTCATGTAGTCAAGTCCTACTTAAAGGGTCAATCTTAGCAAAGTATATAGTGCCATATTTTGCTGGCATGGTTCGGGTTGTTTAATTTATCCTTTTCATTTATGGAGCAATTTCTACTCTTGGAACACTCAGTAAGTGTAATAAATCAAACTAAGTTTTGTTGGAGTTTCAATTCGTAAGACCTAAAGAGGCTTCCCCTGTTTGTCTCATCTACTCTGGCATCTATCTATGCATAATGCTCTGATAGGTGTTACATTGTTATGTTCCTACTTACTATAATGTGATATGATGACACCCGATATATGCGTGTTCTCAACTTCACTAAAGTGTTTGGTTCATCTTGGTACAGAGAACTGTCAGATTTGGTGTCATGATGTTATGGGAATTAGCAACTAGGAGGTAGAGAAGTTACAAAATTTAGTATTTATGATGATCAATCTTTGTTTTATTGGAAAACAATGTGTCATCCTTGGCCATATCGGTGCTCTGTCCTTTCCGTACATGGTCATTATGCGATTCTTCATCTTAATAATTTAGACGTCATGTTCAATTTATTTATCTATAGTATATAAATTTGTAATGGGAGTTCTGTTTCATCGCATGAGTCGATCGGTAACTAGTTTTATTGCCTTCATTTTTACTACTTATGACGCCGATTCGAGTAAAATTCATGTGAAAAATCATATATAGCGACCTAAAACCAATAAACCCACATTGCTACAAATGAGAAGCCTAGAACGATGTACCGTTGATGCAATCGTCGTCCATAGCAATGCACCACCTATCTACACATATCAACACGTATGGTCTAAATCGATATATTAAACCAACATAATTACTATGGTCGTAGTATATAGCAGTGCTTGCAAGCAAATAAGTTGCCAGATCGTGCTAGTTTCCCATAGAACACCTGGTTAGACCGTGCTTTTGCTTTATTTATATAACTTCTTATAGAAGCGCTTTTTGTTCACCGCTCTACCAAACATAACCATTATATTTTAACTATATTAAACCGTCGGTTCAGGTGGTTGGACCAATTAAAATGTGAACCGAGGCCTTAAACAGTCCGATGTTTGGTTTGATTCTAATAACTAACTATCATCCTGTTCGCTTGGCTTATAAGCCGTACTTTTTCAGTCAACGAACATTATTTTTCTCTCACAGTAAATCAGCCAACTATATTTTCAGTCATGGCTTATCAGCCAAACGAACGGGGCATATATTTGTTTGTCTTTTGGTTTACTCGAATAATATTATTGTCATGTAACAATGGTTGGCATATCCTATATAATATATATAATAAAGTGCAGGAGAGCTAAATTTATTTATCTACATAACTACATATACGCATTTTTTGTTTTGCGGTCAACACTGTTTAGAGTCTATTTCTAAGGCAGAAATTTCACAAAATCAATTTAATTTGACAGGAAAAATGCATGAACAAGGAAACTTTCCCACGTTCAAACATCCTTATCCAGTTATCCTGTCACCGTTCAATCCCCGCCCCATGATCGCCCCAACCACCTGGACTCCTGGTCCTGGCTCCGGCTTTCGCCGCCGTCTCTCACCTCCGCTCCCCTTCCCTGCCCTGCCCCATGGCGAAGGCCGAAGCCCGTACCCAAGGTCGGCCCGCCTCTCATGTCCCCGCTCCCACGTGGGCGCAGCGTGCGGAGGCCCTGACCCACATCCTGACCCACCCGTCCCACGCGCCGTCGCTCCACTCGCAGTTCTTCGTCGCCTCCCGCGTCCCGTGCCCGCCGCGGGGTCTGGGCTCCAGCACACCGTACCCGCCATTCCTCTGTCCAGGCGCCTCGCTCCTCCGCTGGGCTCTCGTCTCCGTCTTCCTCCCGCGCGTGGCGCGCCTCTGCCTCCCGCCCTCGTCCTGGCGGTCCCGGTGTCCCTTCCAGCTCCCGCCGCCGCTCGTGCCGTCCGCGGCCATCGAGCCGGCGCCCGAGCGCTGGGCCGACGCCGAGCTTAGGGACTACGCGCACCGGCGGCGGGCGCGGAGGGGCCACTGACGTGTGCGGCCGCCGGTGTCCGTGACGGAGCGGTGCTCTGCACCGTGCCCAACATCGTGATCGTCGTGGCCTTCGTAAGGGAGTACTTCTGGGTCGACAGGCCCAACCGCATCTGAGGTGGCATTTACATGGTTTCCATGCAGAAGCCATCGTCTGATGCTCTTTTGCTCTTGATGTGAACTGGCAACCCCCAGTGTTTTCTCTTTTCTTTGTATGGTGTAATCGGCTGACCAAGACAGCTTCTTGAGCGGTCTATAAAAGTTGAGTTTTACCTCTGTCAATCAAAAAAAGAAGCCATTGTCTGACAGTGATGCAGAAACCGTGATGAGCATAGCAAATTTGTGGTGACATGTGCCTGCAATCTGCAAATGGAATGGTGCCCTGTTTGTTTCACTGAAATTTGGCTTACGCCAAGCTTTATGCTGAAATGCTTTGTGAGAGAAAAATACGGTTGGTTTCGCCATCTGTTGGTTCATTTGAAAAGTACTGCTGAAGTAGTGCAGCAGTATGTTGCTGAGATCAGGAATAATGATTTGGGTAATTGGCTGCAACAGATGGAGTGCATCAGACTAAACTCACTGAATACATTACATAGCTGGAGAATGAAGAGTGCCTGCAACATATAGTGTTGCTGCTACTACTATTTATGAGAGCATGCTGCATTGCTGATCTTAATTGAACATGCCCAGGATGCTGGATCAGGATCCAGGGAACACAGGGATCTCGGCAGCTCCATCAAACACCTAGGTGGGCCTATTTATGCATGCACCAGAGCACCACTGACACAGAGACCACTCTACGGCTCTACCCCCTTCATGTCAATCGAAGCCTCCTCATGGACCACCAGCAAATCAATCTGGCCGAGCCGGCTGCAGTATATGGTCCATTCATTCATCATTTTCTTGCATCATCAAGGTTCTCTTCAGTCCCCTGGCTCTCTTCAGCATTTGCCCTTGGAGAAACAAGTTCCAGGAGGATCAGCAATTCAGCATCCAGTTTGTTGGGGATGCCAGCGTTTGCTGGTGCTTAGTCCATCTGCAGCACATTTGCCTCGACAAAGGGGTGTATTTTTGTCTGAAATTACTGTCAAGAAGAATGTTTCTGGCTAGTGTCGCAGTGGCTACACAGAACAGACAGTCAGGCGTAGCTGCTGACTGCTGAGGTTCATCATCATCCACTAAAGTGTGAAATATGCTTTGCTACACTGTTTGTGGTCGCTTCAGCAGGGTAGGAGCAGGAGTATGCAATGCAAGCTTGTACATGTGGCATTCGATTTCTGCTCACTCACAAGATTCTTCTCTGGTTCCATCTCGTCAGCCATGGCCGAGTTGGCGAGTTGTTCACTTGACAAGGCAATAGAATGCCTTCACCACTCACATCGAGTACTCCCACCGCCATGGATTCTCCTTCTCCAGCCTTGGAAACAAAGATGAGCTGACGACGACGACGATGACACCGACGCGGCGTGCTGCTGGCCATTGCATGGATCCCAAGCAATCAGCTCAGCCTCAGCTGGTGCGCTGCTGCCGCTGCACCGTTCGCGGCCGGCACCCCCTTGCTTGATTACCAGCGATCGAGTTAGCACCCCTCTGCTTTTCCTGACCAGGCAGCAGGGCACATTTAGCATGTGTGTGATTAGCTAGTTTAATTTATACAGTAGTGTGCAAGGAGCCTTCCAATCAGCTTGTGCTGCAATTGTTGAAGATTCTAATCTTCCTTTTCTTTTCGGTGCATGAGTAGTCACTAGTCAGCGTTGCGTTTCTGCAGCTTCACGTGCCCTGTTCGCTTAGCTGATAAGCCATGGCTGCCGTTGGCTGATTTGCTGTGAAAGAAAAATACTATTCATTGGCTGAAAAAGTACGGCTTATAAGCAAAATAAACAGGGCGCATGGTCATTGGTTTCAGTAGTAAATGCACTTACCTACATGCGACATGACCATATGCGTACATACGCTAGCATTCTCTCACCTGACTTCCTCTTCTAACGTACTGGCCCTGTTCGCTTGAACTGAGCGAACAGTGCTTTTCTCTCACAGCAAATCAACATAAGTATCAGCATAAGCTAAATTTCACTCTGCATTTGTTTCAAGTGACTTCCTTTGCACAACTAACCCAAACTGAACTTTGTGGCCTAGTCCAACCAACCATATCAAAATAGGTTCTTTTTCAAGTGCCTATTGCTTCACCATGGTTACCTGGAAATTGTGAAGTAAGAACTGCATGTTTAGATGTCCGATGAACATTGTTTGATCTGTAGCTCTGTTGAGAGTGCTCATGGGATGCTTGTGCCACGCAATGCCCAACTGATTCTCTGGACATATGGCCGATGCTTTTCTCTGTTTTTCATTTATACAGTAGACTATGGTAAATCGAAAGTCTGAATAATCCATACGACTTTAAGGAACAGCAAGTAATAAAAAAAAATACAAGGCCTGTTTCATTGGATTGAGCTTTTAATTCATTTTGAATTTTGAGCTAAATAGTAAATACTATACATTTTCAGCAAACAACCACTCATCCGAAATTCCAAACACCCTTTAGCTGCTTAGCATGCAGCCTATAAGTTAAGCATTGTAAAAGTTGTCAGAAACAATGGTGTAAGATGGACGAACAAGTATAATGTCACTGTTCTTGTCCCAATGCTTTATGGCTGTGCTCCGCCCGGGCTGTTCTTGTGATGCTGTCGGCCTCGGTGACGAGGCCGAGAATTGGAGAGTCCACCTTGTTGGCCGACCCGCTGCCGCTGCCGCTGGACGGCCCGGAGAAGTTGGAGGTGGAACCTCCCGACGCGGACGCCGAGCACGACGCCGAGTGGTCCAAGTCCCCAATCCCATCCTAGAAACCACACACAATGCACTCTCAATTACAAATGTAAATACCATAACATCATGTAAAAAGAAGTGTGTACCATACTATCTCCAGATCCAGAAAGGGGCAGACACACATATTTGTGAGGTTAAGTGAGATACTTTGGGTACAAATAAAAGGCGTTGGCGAAGTGCAGGTGCAGCGAAACTAGATTCTATGCAATTGGTGCGCACGGAGGTGGAAGTTTAATTTTGTACAGGAAGATTTTGTTGGTACACTGCCGCCCTATTTATCGCCATGTGTACAGCTGCAAAGAAACGGCACTCCATCAACGAAATGCTCCATTGATCATGATGGTTCATGGCGGTATTGCAAATCTTTTATTGCCTTGCTGTCGTACCAAGCCAGTAGCTGCTGAGTACGGTGGAGGTAGGTGGCCACAGCGCAGCGCGAGCGATCAGAATTCAGAAACAGCGGGAAACCCAACCAAATCGAATCGAATCGAATCAGAACGAATCCGATCGTGTACCTGCAGTTGCTGCTCGTCGTCCTCGGATTGGCATGGGGTTACGGGCGCCGCTGGATCGTCGTCTTCGCCGTCCTGCGAGGGGTGGTCGGGCTGGACGACGACGACGCTGTAGAGCTCGACGATGCGGTCGCAGTTGTCCGCCCACCAGGTCTGCGCCGCCCACGCGTCGCCGAAGTACTCCTCGCTGAACCGGATCCTGCGGAGGTAGTTCCTGCCGTCGCCGCACGACACCAGGGTCATCAGCACACCGGGCTCCTGGCCCGCCGCCCACTCCCCATCACTTGCCGCGTCCGCCGTACCCGCGGCTGCCTCCTCGTCGCCAGCGCCGCCGCCGTCGCCGTCGTCCAACGGCGAGCAGCACTTGTCGCAGTGCTCATGTTTGGCTCCTCCTTGCCCCCGCTCCTCGTCCTGGTGGAGGCGATCTTCCGATGGTCACCGTCAGCGGCTTCGTGCAGCTGCGCCGGCGCGATCTTAGCGGACGAGGACGCCGCCGCGACGTCCTTGCCCTGCAGCTCCTCGGCCTCCGGGAGCGCCTCCGATGCCGCCGCCGCCGCCGCCGCCGTGGCGCGCGCGGGTGGCCCTCGCCGTCGCCCGCCGTCTTCGCCTTTAGGAGCGACAGGGCCTTCATCTGCGCAAGCGACGGACACGACGTTACATTAACATCACGCGCGCGGGCGGGCGCGTAGAGCAGAAGCAGGGGAGCGATTGGGATGTCGAGCAGCGTACGCTCTTGGCGATGAAGCCGACGGACTTGGTGATCCTGCTGTTGCCGCCGCCGCCATGGAAGCACGCGTGCATCGGGAAGAGCAGGGCCGCCGCGCCTCTGATCTCCGTCCGTTGATGTAGTCGTTTCCGGAGCAGCTGCTCGCTCCGCGCTCGTGCTGGTTTGCAAGGAAGAGAAGAAAATGGAGGGGGATGGAATTTGAAAGAGGCGAAGGGCGGCACGGAATTAACGGGCGAGCGTGTCCGTCGCGCAATCAATGCCTGCGGGATTGGCGTATTTGCGGCCACCGAGGACGGACGTGTAGGTGCGGCCAGGGCAGCAGAGAGCTGCCTTTACTCCGGCGCACGTACGCACCGCACGGGGGGCTTCGAATTTGGCCCGGATTTCGTTGGAGGACGGCCGGTGACTGACGGAGCACGAAATTACCGTTACATCATGACATGACAACGATGATGGCATGCGGTTGTGCGAGACAGTACTGGCGCGCTCTGAATTCGGGGCCTCTTGTTCCTGAAACTACGAGGCTGTTTGGTTGCTTGTGAGCGTTTCACTCGCCATAGCTACGGCTGCCACGTGAACTTGGCCGGTGTTTGGTTTGTGAATCAGTTGTGACAGTCACGAGATTTCCTTCGTTAAATTTCACCACACCTATTGCGGCCGTTTCCTCCGCCTAAAGTTCGGCGTCGCCACAACGCTGGTGGCCGGTGTTGGCTGTAGAGCAAACAGCCTCTTAACTTTTGTTACGCATTTCGGTTTTACGTTTTGTTCCAGCTAGCTCGATGTTGCCCAAGAACTGGTATTCAAATACCGGCAAGTAACAGCTTGTGGGTTGTTTAGCAAAAAAATAAAGTTTTTCTAGGAGAAGTTTTATAGTGGTTGGAACAAACGAGTTTGTACGGTGCTGGATGGATTTATGGGACGGAAAAGTCCTCCCGACCTCCCTCCCTCTAATTATTAGGGCAATCCGATTTATCTCCTTTTAACTATAGAACCAGATGTTTGCGCTCCTCAAACTGTTAAAACTGTTCGATTTATAGATCATGAATTAGGGATATAGATCATGGTTTTACGAAATATATGAAGCCTTTCTACTTGATCATGTGCTCTCGGTGCATGCGCAGACCTACGCCAGTGATGACGAATGAGGAAGCAATCGCGTCCGTCTAGATGTCGTCGACCAAGTCGTAGACGTCGTATACTCGTATGCCAGCTATTGCTGATGGTCTAATCATTCTTCCCATGTCATCTTTGTGATGCCCCTGAAGGAGATAGTGCAGGTACGAAGTTAAACCACATGGTACTTGTTGACATGTTATTATTGTGCAATGAAAGTTTGAATTATATTTTTTATTTGAACTTTCTTATGTATGTCTCAACCGTCAAGCTAGACATTGTTGTTGAGAAAATATTTTTTGTAGTTTGCATGGTGGGTTGCACAGTAATTCACGCTGCGGTCTCAAAATTTTGTCTTTTTATTTGCATCCTCCATTTCTTATTTGACTAGTTTCAAATTTTAGAAGACCATGTAAGATTCAAATAATTCTAACCAAGAAAAAAGGGAGAGCTTGATTTTAGGAAAACTATAAAACTGGTTTCATATTTTTCTGAGTTAAAAAATTAAAAATTTTATATAAACTTTCTAATATTAAATTAGATTTTAATATTTTGATAAATTCATATTTATTCTAAAAAATATTTAGATAATTTTTTACAGACATGGCGCCACCTAGGACAATTGTTGTGGCGCCACATCAGCCCAAAATGCTTTCATAAACACTCATGGAGATAAATCGAACGGTTTCAATAATTTTAAGGAGTATAAACACCCTGTTTTATATAGTTTTGTTTTGAGAAACCCCTATTTTATATAGTTGAAAGAGGTAAATCGGACTATTCATGAGGTCAGGAGTACTTTTTCCTTATAGTACGTACTGAGCTGCTGCGGTAGCTCCTATTTTATGATGGGCTCAAAAACATCAATGGCCCATCAGTTTGGTTGCAACGGGTTACGAGAGGGAGGGACCGATGTCCGGCCCGTTTCGGCCCGCACAGGAGTTCGGATTCATCATCGTCATCAAGATGGAAAAAAAATGGATCCGGCATTCCGGCCGGTGACTTCCCCGCCTAACCCGTGGCGGACCGCGGACGGACGCGGTCCCGCGGGTCTCCCGGTGGCAAACTAGCCACACCGGAGATGAGCTCCCGAGCGACTCGGCTTGGGTCGTCCCGTACTGCTTTGGCCCGACTGCCGGAGGCCATGTTGGCGGTGCCCGGGGTCCGGCGGGAGGAACCTAGGAACGGGGCTTCGCGGCGCTGCTCGCTGGTGCTGGGTTGAAGCAGGAATCTGCCTTCTGGTAGATCGGTAGCGGCCACATGTGAAGGATGCCAGGAGGTCAGGATGGATGCTCGGGCTGGATGGCGAGTGCCCTGGCATTTTTCGTTCATTTTCTGACAGTAGTACTCCAGTATTGTTTATACTTCTACAGTTGTACTACTAATCTTCTGAAGACACCCTTCGAAATTTGAAAAGCAACTTGTTGATTTCAGTCAGCCCAAACTAGCCAGTCAACAATGTTTTTCTCTAAAAAAAACCAGCACCAGCATCAACCAGTAAACAGGCCCTACATTGGTTCTACTGGCACTATGTTCAATACTTCGGCCTTGTTCGCATATAGTCGGATTCACGTCAGTTCACGTGTATTGAGTGAAACCTAGATTAAATTTCACTGGATTGGAGTAGAACTTAAACTAAATTTCACCCCAATCTACCTTAACATATATGGATTGAGGTGAACCTGACAATATTCAAACAATACCCTAAGTGAAAAAAGTAGTAATTAGAACATATTCCTAGGACACAACGAGCTGGAAGTAGCAGAACACTGGCCTGAAGGGGTAGGTGTTTCTTTTGCTGCAGTTTCGTAGGGTTAGCAGAGTGTTTCTAAATTCGAAATCATACATATTAACGCATGGTGTTTAAATTCAGGGGTGTTTAAATTCAGTGGCTAAAGTTTAGGAGTGTCACATCGATGTTATATGGGGGTGTCACATCGAGTGTTCGGATAGTAATAAAAAAACAAATTCTAAAAGTCCTCAGTAATCCGGAGACGAATTTATTAAGCCTAATTAATCTATTATTAACGCATGTTTACTGTAGTACCACATTATCAAATCATGGACTAATTAGGTTTAAAAAATTTGTCTCGTAAATTAGTCTTAATCTGTTCATTTAATTTTGTAATTAATCTACATTTAATATTTTATATATGTATCGAATCGTTCAATGCGACGAGACTAAACTTTTGTGGAAGGAAGCAAATAGGTGTGAAGTATGATTGGGCCGAGCAGAGCCGGCCCGGTATCACGCGGCCCAAGTCCGCACCTCTGCCTGCCGGCAGCCAAATAGTGGTTCAGGAGTCACGACACGGGACGGAAAGGACGTAGCATCATCGTGCCACGAAAGGACGTAGCTGAAGCTAAGATGGTTACGAGGGTAAGGGTGTGCTCGGCCGTGCTCCGGCTTGGGCTCCGCGGCAACTCCGGCTCGGAGCCGTACCAAACGGCCACGGGAAGAGCGTTTCTGCGCCACGGACAGAGAGCAGCCGGAACCCTTTTTGACGTAGGGAGGTGGAGTTTTGCAGAGGGAGGTGGAGTTTTGCCGCTCCGTGGCTTCGGCGAAGAAGCAGCGCGGGTGGAGCCCGGCCAAACAGTCAAACGCGCCTAAGTCGCTGCATGGGCGCTTGAATAGCCACGTTCTTCTTTCTCGTGGCAGCATCAATTTAGCGACTGACCAAACTTTGGGTTTCCTTCAAGATCAGCCCCTCAGTTGACATCATCGCCTAGTCGCCTACAGATAAATTTTGTACTGTATGTACACTTGTGTCTCGTGCATGTACTCACAATAACTAGTGTTTGGTGTGAGAAATCACTATATTCTAGATAAAGTGACGTATCAAGAGTTTATTCTTCAAAGTTTGTAAAATGACTCTATTCCTCGGACTAATAATGAGATGACGATAGATGAATTTATTCCATTCCACAAACAAAAAAGGAGTAAAAAGATGAACTAACTCATTCCTCAAACCAAACACCTTAGATCATCTCTAAGAGACTCTCCATATCATTTCTAAATACTAGGAATAGAGATTTTAGTGAAAAACCACCATTCAACAACTTCTCTAAATGGTCATCCGAATATACCTATTTTCTATTCCGAATTTTTCGCTAGCAAAAAATAGAAGATGAGAATAGCTCTCTAAAGTGCGCATGAGATATAGAAAAACTATTGGAGAGTGAAAAGATAAAACGATTTTTATATAAATGGCTCTCCAAATGATGATTTAGAGAGTGGGATTTAGAAAAGCTCTTGGAGTATAAGTCTCAAGGTGGCTTGTTTAAACGTGGTCGTAATCGAGAGAAAGAGAATGATTGAACCGCGATCTCTCATTGATTGATCTCGTATTATATTTATACATGTTGAACCATGGCCCATGGATCGGCTGGTGTCCGTTCGGAGGCATCAATCGCGAACGGACCTGTCGATTGGCAATGTCAGTGCTTTACAGGGGTGTACAAGAAATGTCTGATTAGATGGACGCTTAATCCTAATCCTAATCACTAATCCACTACTAATCCAAGTCATCGATCCTGCGGTTCTTCCATCTCATCGATCCGTGTGATGAGATCCACCTTGGCGATCTGTGTGATGAGATCACTTGAACGTGATTGGTTCTTAGCATTCCCCTTGATCGAATCAAGTCTTGAGATTAACCAATAGTTTTATCCTTAACCCTAAAAAAACCTAATAGGGAAAATGAGGTGATAATGTTGTTGATATGTCATTAAACTCCTCAAAAACCCAGCGAAAAAATCTGGAGAAATGATATGACATATTTTAGATTATTGTCTGTAAACCTATAAGAGAGAACCTTTTATAGGAAAAACCCATAATTTAGTTTAGAACAATATTATCATCTATGTGCCATAATTAGTATAACCTCCTCAAAAACCTCATGGGAAAATATGAGAAGAAATAATGTCTTTGATGTTCCCTTTAAAAACCTCTTATGAGAAA